TTTTTTTTTACCACTACTAATTTATTATTTCACGTTAAAACATCACCAATACCTATAAAGAAAACATTTCTTATTGCTGAGAGAACGATAACTTTGCGATAACCGATTCTCGTAAAATTTTTTTATCGAAACATTTGAAACACCTGTGCGACATTGTTATCAACTCGTCGTCGTCGAATCACCGATAACATTTATTTCTTTTTGGACTGTTAAATCACACATTGCACACAATCGTAATAATATATATATATATATCATATATATTGTAGAGGTTTGATAATGAAACGATTGAAAAGATTCAATTTTCTTTTATCGAAATATAAAATATGTTTTTTTTTTTTGCACAAATAATATTTTATACTTCCTTATATATAATATTTATATTCGAGTTGCTTAGAAATTTTCTATCAATTTATATTCCATATATATATATGTATATATATATTCTAATGCTATTGGAAAAAAAACAAGAAAAATTGGATTAATATAGGAGTAACATTGAAGATTTAAAAACGAAACAAAAAAAAACAAAAAAACACAGAAAAAGAAAGAAATTAGAACGCACACAAATTCCATAATGAATAATCATATTTTAATGACTCAATGATTGTACAAATGGGTCACTCTTAAACGTCTCCGCTTAACCGAGGAACAATAACAATAAATACAGCAATCATCGTAATCATAATATTCATTACTGATATATCGTTACGTAATTAGATGAAAACGGAAACGAGATTCTTGTGCTGTATTTTATTTTCCATTCATACGTACAAGATTTCTTTTCACCTTGGTTCATCATCACTCAACGTTAGACATCAACGAAAGGAAGAGATATTTCTTTTTTTCTTTTTTTTTTTCTTTTTCTTTTTCTTTTTCTTTTTTTCCATTCTGCTTTTTATTTTCTATTTCATTTTCATTATCATTATCATTATCATTTTCATTTTCATTTCGAAAGACTCGTTATAGATCGCCATTACTACACACACATATCCATATAATCTTCGTTTCGTTATCATTCGACTCCCCACCCCACCCCACCCACCCCCATATCCCCGTTGAATATTTTGTCCCCCCATATCCCCGTTGTCTACCCAACCCTTAATGCCCTATATTTATATAATATAATCTACTACCCTCTCCCGAAATTCACTGACTGAGTTATAGAAGTCGACAACAATTGTCTTTTCTTTTTCACACAATCAGTTATTATTCTTATTTTCTTTCCATCTTACTTTCTCTTACTTTTTCTCTCTCTCTCTCTCTCTCTCACTTTCTTTCTCTCTCTCTCTCTCTCTCATTCTCTCTCTTTCACTCTCATTCTCTTTCTCCTTCGATATACACGGTGTCCATAATTATAATACCGAAGGTATCATCGCCATATCATAATCAAATATATTATGTTCAACGGTAGCGATAAAGTTTATATCAATAAAATTTCTGGAAGAATGTCAATAATGTAATAGACAATAATCG